CAGCCAGGCTGGCCCTTGGCTCCCTCCTCACAGCTGTGGCCTTCCTTCCTGAGCCTGCGTTTCCTGGCTCCTCCCTGCTGTTGCCACGGAAACCTAGAGCCTGGTTCCCATGGAGCCCCTGCTGAGCCTGAGTGGGGCCCACACAGCTTGCAGAAACCCCCAGGACACACACGGCCACACCACTCCGCCCCATGGCTCACAGAGCCCAGCACCCCAACTCAGCTGGAGCAACACCCCAGCCTCTGCAACAGCCCTCGACACCTGGAACATCACAGAGTGATCAGAAGGCTCCTCTATCACCCTCCTCCCAGCCACAAGGCCCTGTGCCCCCCCACCTGTTCAGTCCTGCTGGCCCCCGCCCTCGTCACACACCCAAAATGCCCACAGTGACAGCACCACACCCACCCCCTCTGCTCAAGACCCTCAGCCAGTCTGACACCCACCACAAGCCTACTGACACCCTAGTCCCCAAAACACCTGGCTCGGCCTGCGACTCAGGTCCACTGACGCCAAACCCGCCCCTTGTGACGGCTGCAGCCGGTGAGCTCAAGCGCCCATGCCGGCCCCCTCATGCCCACCCCACCCACTCTTCCCTTTCGGAAGTCCGGTGCTCTGTGCACACCAGGCCTAGCATCCTGGGGCTGCGAGCAAGAAGGCACAGGGAGGGGCATAAGTCCCAGCGTCCACGTGGACCAGGCCCATCACCTGGGGAGGGACACGCACGCGTATACTTCTAGGCTATTGGGCATCTTCCTCAGAAGCCCTGACCCCTGGACAGAGGTCGAGGCTGACCATGTACCTTGCCTTCCCCACCCCCTGCCCTAGCCCTTGCAGCGGGGTCTGAAGGAGGAGCCCTGGGACAAGGGCCAGGCCCGGAGCCTTGGTCTCAAGGACCCCGAGGTGGGATCTGAACTGAGCAGCAAGGTCTCAGGAGACAGAAGACTCCCCTCCACCTGGACCTGTGGCTGACGGGGACCCCACCCCCACCCTCCAGGAGAAGGAGGGTCCGGCCCCAAGGGACTCAGTAATTGGTCCCAGGCTCCTGCTCCTGCAGCAGCCAGGGCCGGGTGGGTGGGAGCCTGTGAGGTCTGTGCCCCGGGCAGCGCCTGGGAGGTCTGCCACTCCCAGAGCCCAGCCAACCCCCCACCCAGAGCCACCGAGGGGGACTGCCCAGCATCCTTTGCAGGCTTCACCCAGAGCCTGAGGGTCTGGTCCTAGCTGAGCGAGGGGAGGCCAGGGAGGACAATGTCCACTCAACACTCAGGCCAGCCCCACACTTGCACAGAAAGCTTGCCCCTCTACTCCACCTTTCTGTCTGGGGAGTTGGGGGCTGCACACAGGGCCCCCCATAAGGGTGGGCAGTAGCCAATCTGGGCCAGGCCAGCCAGAGGTGGGTTCTAGAGACATAGGAATGCCCCAGACTCACAAATCACCCCCACTTTGCGCTCTTGCGGACCCCTCCCTTGGTGGGTGTTGAGGGTGAGGACTTCGCTGGGCAGGACCCCCATTCTACACCCTGTGGGACCCCATCTCATGGCAGAGTCCAGCCTCTGCCTGGCTCCAAAGGCCATGGGCAGACTCCAACGCCAGAGCCTGCCTCACCCCTCACTCAGGCAGACACAGACCTTCCCCGTCACACAGACCCCACAGACCACACACAAACACACAGACACACACATCTGATGCCCCTCCCCCCAGCACAGCTGACCACACCCACACCAGCCCTTGCAGAGCCCTGGGGAGTCCCCCAGCCCTGTGCCTCTGAGGTCAGGGCCACCCCGACTGCAGTCCCCACCCCCACTGTCTTCCCATGTGGACAGTGGGCCAGAGCCACCATCCTGACCCCTACCAGGCAGCGCACACACGGGAGGACAGCCTGACTCCAAAGAGGCAGGGGGCACCCCAGGAGGCTCTCCTCCTGCCCTGCCCAGCCTCAGCCCACAGGACATGACAGCTGGACACCTGAGTAGCCCAGCTCTGCCGAGACGGAGGGTTGTTGGCTGGTGCCAGGCGAGGCGGCGCTCCTGGGGGAGGGGGCACTGTAGTGGTGAGGTAATGCCGGATAATGCCCACAACCGCATTTGGAGCCGCTTGGTCAGCTCTGGGCTGTCAGGAGCTGCAGAGGGCCAGGCAGGGCCTCTAAAGGAACCGAAAGTCCATCCTAATGAGGGGAGAGGCTGCAATGGACGACCTTCTAGGTCTCCTTCCCAAGTGACCATCATCCCAGACCAGCTACTGCCCAGGCTAAACCAGGCCCCGGTAACCCCAGTCCACACCTAGAAGGGTAAAGGTGGTCTCTACCAGGGGCTGGCTCCTTGGACCCATTCTTCAACCTAGAGTCTTCCTCACACATCTCTTCCCCCACCTCCTGCAGGGTGCCCAGTCCACCCACTAACACTGGTCAAACAAAAGCTGGCACCACTGGGAGAGGACAGTGCACCTGCCCACCCCAGGGCCCCCCATTCTTGCTGCCTCCCAGGAAAAGCTAATCTTCCCCCTGGACCCAGAGAATCCGCTTCCTGGTGCCTGAGTGCCCCCAGGACACCAGCAGAGGCTCCACGTCGTGAATGAAGCTGTGGGGCCTAGGGAGTCTGGAAACCACTCTGGGACACCCAGGGCTTTACTCCCCCTGCCGATGGACAAGACCCTACATGACAGAACCCCATGGAGAGAGGGGATGGACACCCAACAGCCCTCAGGTTGAGGGACCCCTGCGGGGCTGCTTGCCTTTCCTCAAACCAGGAGGGCCACGGGGGGCAGCTCGGGAGCAGCCAGTCGGGGGGGCTGGAGGACCCACCCCATTCCTAAGCACTGACTTTGTGACTTAGCAGCACTACGAGGGCCAGGGACCTGAGAGCCTCTAGCCACACAAGCCCAGGGTCACTGACGTCTGCTGTCATGCACCATGGAGCTCCCAGCACTTGCGGTGTTGGTGGGAAGGAGGGCTGCACAGCTCCCAGGCTATAAATGGATGTACAGGAGGGAAAACTCAGATCCCACCCCAGAGCTGCTGAGCACACTCATGCCACCTCCAAGAGAACCAACCTCAGCAGGACGGTAGGGAAGCAGTCCTGGGGGACACCCCTCAGACCCCTCAGTTTCTGGAGCCCAGGTCCCCTCCCGGAATTCCAGGAGGCTGGAAGCTCCTCTGGAAACCCTCCCAGACCTCTTGGCCCAGGGGAGGGGGCCCCCCTTCCCCTCCACCTGCCCCAACCCTGGGTCCGGCTTCACTCTATTGTGGTAGCAGTGGCCTGAGCTGGGCAGGGCAGCCAGTTACTGCTGGTCCCAGCCCCTGATCCTAACGGGCCCCAGAGAGGGGGAACAAGGCCTGGGGCTCTGCACCTTCTCTGGAGGTTCCTCTGCCCTCTGGTCTCCCTTCACTCTGGTATGGGTCCAGGGCATCCAACGCTGAGGTTTGACCTGTTTGGAGTGGGCTCCGGAGCAGTGCAGGGAACACGAAGTCCGACTTCTTGAACCCCATGGACAGACAGGGGGGCTCGAAGCCCCCAGTGGTGAAAATTCCACATGTGTGTGGAGGGTTGGGGACATGATGCCCTGCGGTTATCCAGAACACGCTCCCCCAAGATACAGGGCACTTTTTCCAAAGTGCCCTGTCCTTTTGAGCTAAACCCCGAGAAGGCTTCTTGGGACGCCTCCCAAGAACGTGGGTTAAAATATGCCCCTCTCCTCCCAATGTAATTTCGTGAGGAGGCAGCCACCCTCCCCTAATTACCGTCCGGGGTTCTGACTCCGTGGGTGGGGACGGCAGCTCATCTCTGAAAGCCTGACAGCCCCCACGAGGATGCCCCCTTCCAAGCTCCAGCCCACATCAGCGGCCCATTCCCACTAGGGGTGGGGGGGGAGGGGGTCCTTCCTTCAGAGAGGGTGCGGGGGCAGCTGCGCGGAGGAGGCTGCGGTGGAATCCGGCGGGCC